ATATGGGTTAAAACTTTCATTTAAATTGTTATTGATCATATAATTTAATTGACAGTTGGGTTTTTTCATGTTTGTTCAGTAGGGATAATTAATTCTAAAGATTTAATAAAAAAATATTTTTTCACAGTAAAAAAGCTTGTACAAAAAAATTGTCTTTTCGTCTTTTCGACAATGGGAGTGAAAGAGTCTGAAATATTATTTTTATTAGAATCATGCAATATTTTCATTCGCAACTGGCAGCGTTATCGTAAATTTTTTCTCAAAAAAATACAGGATATATTGAATGAAAATGTGTGTTGAAATTAACATTTAATGTCTTTCTTCTTTCTGGACAATTTTACTCATTTAAATTCTCTTAAAGCTGGCTTTGTCATATCATTATCTCATTTTTATGATCTTATCTGTATATTATCACAGTAATCGTTTTAAATCTCATTCATCAAACATTATTAGCATTGTTGGTAAAAAAAGGCTGCGTTAAAATTTAAACACACTAGCAGTTAAGTTCTGCAAATATTCTTCTTTTTTGTTAATATGTAAGAAATTTAGAAGATGCGCATTCTTGTTTACAAATTGGATGTTCAAAATTTGAAGATACAAAAAAAAATTGGACCAGAGCTAATTTTTAATTTCTTGTTCAATAAATTTTATCTCTGATTAAGCTTTCTAATTTTAATTACACTTCATTTTTCATAATGAAACTCATACAGCAATTCTGGTGATAACAATCCAATACCGTTTATCATTTGATCACATCTGCTAATCTATTATTTGAATTTTCGATGCAGTTTTAAGCCTACCATAACAAATATTTATACTTTCTTCGTTTCTATTAAATAAAGTCATTATTAAATTTCATTTTATTAATTGACTATTTTGCGATAATTGAAGTGAAAAATCGGTAAAGAGCATTGCGAATGGTAAATTGTGATTGCTTTGTTTTCATTCAATAAAGACAGTTGTGAGTATGAATGAGGAAAAGATGAGAAAAAATTTATAATAAGAAGAGCTAAGGCTGAATATGAATAAAACGGCAGTTGTAAAATAATAAAACACAATTAAGGAATTGTAAACAGATACTGGACAAGACACCTTCCAGTGTCATCATAGTTGAATTGAGTTTTTGTCCTTTGGTTTAAACAAATGAATCAAAAATTTAGCGCCGATGGGTAGAAACTGCATTATTGTGATGCACCCGAAAAACATTTAAAGAATCGCTCAGATATATTGTTAAAATAGTACTACTTATGCCTAATCAGTAATTAATATAATTATTTTTAATTATTTTACCAGGAATGAAAATTTATTTTTTACCAGGAATGAACTAACGCTGGTCCTCATCGCTTCTATCCATTGGTTCCACCCTTCTTCATTTAACGTCTTTTTCTTTGGCTACAGTTTTAGTTGTCGGAAACCTGAAATTATCCTATAATACAAAAATGTTAAAATCATAAAAATAAAAAAATAGAAACTTGTATTGCAAAAAATTATTATGCAAAATATCGTCAATTAATTTATAGCTGTTTTTACAAAAAACCTTGCCGACTTACTTAAGACTGTAAATTGTGTGATTAATTATCATTTTTGTCGTTTAATTTAACTTAAAATTTCGACACAACTAAACAATTATTTACATCTGATAATTTTTCGCTCATAATGAATTTCGAATTTGATGTCTAATTAACTATAAGGATGGTCTTCATCTGATACTTTGAATTTGATTTCACTTTTATTTAGACCAGATTCTAACTTTATTCCCAATAGTCTCATCTCGAACCAGCAAGTCAACTAAACTATCGGTTTTATTATTGATAAATCCCTGGTAATAATCCCATAAAGAAAATCTCTCCAAAAAGTAACCTACCTTATCGAGTAATTCAATTGTGCCCAGTAAGTATTATAAAAATAAACTTTCAATAGAAAGAATGAAATTCGATTTTTTTGATCTATGCCAATTCGTCTAATTCTTCTTCACAAATTCTAATAATGGATTTGCAAGTTAAGCTGTATATCGCGGATAATAAATGAATTTAAGATCAAAAATAAACGTACCAAATTTGCCGCATTGTGTAGATAATCTTCCAAAACCTTCAAGTAAAGCGGCTCTATGCGCAAATGAATTTTTAGATCTGTCGAGAATGGCAAACATGATCGTCCCACTTTGTTGCATTCCACATCGAGAATACAAGTTTTGAAGCTGTCACAATAAATGTTAAATGAAAAAATCTTACACACTTAAAATAACCAAAATACTATAAAATACCGCAATCGATATAAGCAATAAATTCATTTGTATTGTTTTGCCGATTTAGTAAATTATAATAAATTGTTCTCCCATTTCTCACATCACTTAAAAAATTCAATCGAGAAGACATAATCTTCAACCTTTGTAATCTTTCTACACACTTAATAGCATTTCATGGAATATCGCATATGATCTGATGATATGAGAAGCTGACCTGAGCGTACATTATCATTATGAAGAAGAACGAAGTAGCATAATTAACATTAAAATGAGAGTCCGTGCAATAAACAATTGAAATATCTTTTTTTTTTTACTTTAGATATTTTTTTCTAATTTTACACCAAAGTTGAAAAAGAAAACTTGAAAAGAAGCTCTCATTTTAATCCTTAATTAATTGGTAAATTTGAATATTATAGTATATTGGAAAATTTCTCTCTTTGGCATGAATGCCATTTAGATAATAATGATTCTGGTAATGTCACTTCTTGTATTCAAAAAATTGAAATTTGCAAACTTTTAAGCATTTTGCTCTTCTTCACTCTAAAATTCACCATTTTTGGGTACCAATTAAACCACGAGGAACATCTTTATTGCATATCTTTGATTTTGAATATATCGATTATACTATTAAATTATATTGGAATCATGTGACAAAATTTTTTTTGAAGTAGGTATAGCAATGAACACATTTTCAAATAACCAACATTTCACTTCTCATGAAGTTACGACATGTAATTAATGATGAGTTACAATTGTATGGAAATTATGGTTCTTTTCAGATGCTTCTTTGCTAATATCAATTCTTTTAATATATCCCAGAAACTATCGCAAGAATAAACTGATCATAAATTAATCGAACGTTTTATGAATTCCCGATTTCTATTTACCAAATTTCCGAATTTTTGTAATTTTTCCCAGCAAAATTACGACGATTATATTTGCAAGTTTTCTGCAATCAAACTTTATTTCATGAAGTTAAAAAATGAATTGTAGGCGTTAACAATCGCTAATAAAATGATCTAATCAGTTGGTAAATAGCATTTGTCATTTTAGAAAAGATGAATTCATTTACTAAAAAAATTAAAAGAGAGAGGAAGAAATGTTTGCATCTTTTGTATACAGTTCCGACTTATTTAACAATCATATTCAAAAACATTAAAATTGCTCTATGAAAGATCAGATACTTGAAAATCACTTTGAAATTATCATACCTATTGTGCTAAAAATAAAATTAGCAACTTAAAATTGAAAAAAAAATAAACAGTGAACAAATAGGACGAATTAATGAAAGCAGCCATCAAACAAAAATAAAAAAGTAGTTCGCTGGGTAATGACAGTTCAAATTATTTACAGGAAAAAATGAAATAGTACGAAAATATTTACAGTAATTAACGGAGTCAAATGAGAGCAGTCTAAAATATATGACACTTGAATGTTAAAAAAAAAACTTCTAACAATGATTATATAAAAATTACAATAATCATCATCATAGTAGTATTTTATGCAGTTTTTTAATCTAAGCTCTGAACAAAAATTCATAAAATAGACTAAGAAATGAAAAGAGACAAAAAGAAAGCGAAGATTTAGAAAAAAAAATGGCAGCATTAGTTTCATAGTCATTCCAGTTTTTCAGCTATGATTTTTAGAATCTTGCAGGACTCTTTTACCTTTGATATTTCTAGCATCAGTGAAAATATTTATTGAATTCGAGTGGAACTCTTTTTACCAAGATCAGGAAACTCCCTCTCCTTCCCAGCTCATTAAAGATAAAGAAAGATCCATACTGGTCGAAACACAATGTAAATATTTCACGTGATACCATTCCGGTTAACTTCCTAGTCCGGATATATTTGATACTACCAGGAGGAATGCTTACATGTTGAATGTTGAATGAATGATCAGTTGAATGATACGTTTAATCTTTACTTCTTTGCAAATAATATAATGAAGTCTTCCAGCAATATAATGGCAATTATAGCACTCTGTAGTGAAGAAAGAAATGAACCAAATTCATGACGTTTCCCTTCTCTTTCTTCTCTGTACATATTATTGATAAAAGGACCAAAAAAGGAAAAGTTTATTTTTCACGTTATATTCAAAAGTAAAATTAAAGTTTGAAATTCATACACGGCAGCGAAGGACATACTTACTTTAGAGTATGATGATAATATCCAGCACAATGTATGATTTTATACAATAACAAGGCATAATAATCAAAAACACAACAATAATATTTTCCCTACTTGTTCTTATCTCGTCTCAACTCACTTCAAGTAGATTATATAAGCCATGTAAATATTTTATATTCACAACTCCATCTTGCAGCAGTTAGCTCTAATGCAAAAAAATGCTAATCATAGTTTATAGTCGAATAGTCAACTCGCGGATTCTAATTTTGTTTTGGGAAATTATTCAATTACGAATTTGAAGTATGAAATTACAAACTTGAAATATGAAATTATGAATCTGAAACTTGAAATATTTAATATTTTCAAAATCATACTAGGATCCCTTAGTATGATTTTGAAAATAGTGAGTGTTTTAAGACTACAACATCTCAAAGATGAATAAAGCGTAAAAAAATGATTCACTCAACATAATCACAAATGAAACCTGAATAAGATTCCTTCAAATATATTGCTATCTCTTGATGGACGAGGAAAGACTTAAATAGTCATACATTGTAGAATTTTTCAACCAAAATTCTTCAGTTGGAATTTTCTTGTCGGAAATTCTCAACAATTTCGATTGTAACTTAAGACCCAACGTTATCGTCATCCTCAATAAGACCAATATCATCATCATCCTTCCCCGTATCGGAATCGGATTCTATATAATTACTGGCGGCATTTTGTAATAAATTACTGTAAGATACCAAAAATGGCTCGATTTGATCTGGTGCCAGTGAGGCCATGGCGCGCTAAAAAAGGACACAAATCTAGTCAGTCAACAATTTTCCTAAAAGTATGTCAAGTTCTTTTAATTGTGCCTTTCTGCACTCCACGGTTTTTAAACTTTACAGTGATTTTAATTATTTGCAAGTTTTCACAGATTTGTAGTTGAGATCTCAACAGCTCATAAATCCTATTTTAGTAATATCAAGGATACCATGACACATTCACAAGCTATGCTTAAATAAAATTATGAAATTATGAATGTGAAATTTGAAATATTCAACATTTTCAAAATCACACTAAAATCCCTTAGCATGATTTGAAAACAATAAATGTTTCAAAATTAAGATTTTATGCTTATTTTTTGTAATATGACTAACTTGTGATTAGCAAAAAATGTTCATATATGTGATGTGGATCATCTAAACGATGATTGGAACAATTGCAACTATACAGTACTGAAATCGCCTCGCAGAACACCGTCGTTTCTATCATTTCACTTCATTTAAAGTTTCTTACCCTATGAATTGTTTGCAAAGTGAGCGGATCATATTTCAGCATAAAATTCGCATAGTCAATCCAACATTCGTGTCTTTTTTCTCCAAATTCCACAATCATTAACTCAAAAGCCTGTGTAGCAAACTCGACTGATGTCTGCTCCGATTTCAATTCATGGTTTATGAATGTTCGGTGAACTTCAATACTGAAATGAAAAGGTTGGTTGACAATTTTGCTGGAGCGAACGGGAGGGGAAAGGCAAAAATTTTCTTTTACTAGCTAAAAGAAATGGAAGGAAAAGGAAGTGGATAAACAGACTGCTCAAAACGCATCATCTCATAGTAAAATAAACTAGACCAAAATCCTATTTTCTCCTTTTTCCCAAATTGATGAGCAGCATTTGCTTAAAATTTGTAAACCATTAGTTGTATTTCCAAAAACTGAAAAACTTGCAGTGGTTTTGCATGAAGTAGATTATAAATAAATAAAGTAATAAGCTATAGCGACTCCAAAATGCAGGGATTCGTTACCTATTCGGTGGATATTTCGCGAATAAGAAATATTCTTCCCGTAGTTTATTACGTGCACCAGGGTAAACAGAAGCTAAATAACTGAAAATGATTTCCATTAATCACTTGAAGAAAGATTTCAATCATTAAAAAATACATCTCATATATACACATCTTCTTTAAAACTATTAATCCGTTCAATCACTCATTTTGATTTCACATGCCATCCAGACTACTAGTAAATTTCAGCATTAATTAAAAAGCAAAAGATAAAAGATCATCCGATGGCTCTTCGCAATATCAATTTGTGGAAAAGATAATATGAACAGCAACTACTTGAGCTATCAGGACACTGAATTATAAAAGAAAAATGCCGTACTTCAGACGAATACATCGCATTTCACATGCAACTTTCGGTGGTGTATGAAAAGTAGCTCGTCTAAAAAAATCATCCACATCATCTTCTGAGTACTGATGCGCCCAATCAATTGCTACTTTATACATATCAGCAAGACCATGACTTTCATCATACACCTTAAAAGATGTTAATAATTCGAGGCAATATATCCTGGATTTTTGCATATTCAACTAAAGGTACTCCAATTTGATTCACCGATTAGGTTGAAAAGGGATTTACAATGATCAATGTAGAAGTGTATTTTCCCAGCACGATCCCGGAAAATGTATTCGTTTTGAATTCGTCTTCCTAAAAAAAAATAAAAAAGTCCAGCAATCTAAAAAAGCATACTTCTCGTGTTGCTTGATTGAATAATTTACGTATCGTTTCAACATCCGTCGGGTTGAACTTTATTTTGCACTGCAATAACATCATCCATAAAAATGCATTTTCGGAATTATTCTTCACTGCTTCATTCAAAACTTTCTCTTTTTCTTCGAAATTTTCTGCTAACTTATTGAATTTTTTAACATCCATGTTTGTACCATATCCTCTACTTATCAACCAGAAGAGCTGTTCACGAAACTTCTCCTTTGCATCTGGATCGCCTTAAAGCATAGCTTCAATACCGCAATTAATTCTAGTATATACTAAAATGACTTGTCAACTATTGGCTACGTTTGAAACACAAATTACCCTACGTTCCGCGACTATGCAAACAAAATTAGGTCAGGTCTTGTTGCTTTAAGCGAATTAATAAAGTTCTGTATGAATATCTATTGTTCAGTATTGCTACAATATGGTATTGAACTTAAGAAAAATTGCAATGATGTTCATGACTAGAGAAAATGAATTAAAAATTTAGAACACAGCTAACTAACGATAGCATAAAAAATGTCTTTGACAAAGAGTCAGATAATGTCGGTGCATCTTTTCAGTTGGTATATCCTCACAAGCTTTGTCAAACAAGTTGTAAAGAGAATACTGATCCTGAAAAAAGCTTTGCTCACTCAATGCTAAAACATATATAAGATAAAATCGATTTTATCATTATATTACCACTATAATATGGTATTACTTGTACAGCAAAACAACACTACCACATAACTAGGACACATCTTGAACAATAACATCAGTTGTAAATATAAAGCTAACATTTGGACTTAGTTAAGAACTTGTTTTTTGTGAAAGCTATCCTGTTAAGCGAAATTCTAGATTGCATATTAAAGCGTAATAAAAAAACTGGAACTAAGTATATCAAAGTTCAAAATTTTTTATCAGATAAAAACATCAGTGTTGGAGCTTCCGATGCAACCTACGTGATCCATTGTTTCTGATCTTGCAATCCAGCTTTCTTCGCTTTTATACTTCGGAGACCATAACATATCATACAATTTTTCTGTCAGATGATTGGCCACCAAACCGTACCTCCTTGTAGTTCTCCAAAAATTTAGCAGCAATGCTAGAATTAACACAGCTAATAATTATGTCTAGTCAACATATTTGCTCATAAATTAACAAGAAAATAACGTCGGTTTAACGTTACATGGCTGATAAATAAACCTGCACAGGATCCCAATATTTTTCATCTAAGTTATATATAGCTCCGGCCATTAATTAAAACTTTTATGAATCTCGAACAAGATCCAGTAACTAGATCATTTTTATAAAACTAAGTTAAAACTAAAGTACGTTTCAGACAAATCTAGTAATTTTTGTAATTAAACATATCAAGAAGAGACTAACCACTTTTTTCTGAGACGCAGCATTCTAATGCTTGATTAATGATTATTTGAACGATTCGAAGACCCAATATTGAATCCTGTTTACTTTTTTCTTTTACTCCTACCTTCATTTCTAGACTTTTTTGCGCTTCCTTTGCAATTTCTAACTCCTTTTCCTCAGTACATGGTATATGATATCCTTTCCCGGTTAGTATACTTTTTCGAGTAATCAACCTGAAAATACCATACTGTTGAATAAACTCTTAAGATACACTTCAGGAGCTGATCAACAAGATAAATGATGTAAAAAGATAACAACAAATCTCCGAAAAAAGCTCAAACGTCAATTAAGATATTCTATTCAATCTTCCCATTTCCCTCTTACGTCACTCACTTGCAAAATTAATTCACATAAAAATTAATTTACATATTTTACTCACATAAATTTTTAAATTAATTTATTTTATTCACAAAAATAAATTAATTCACATAAAAATGCAAATTAATTCACATAATTCACATAAAAAAATAACGGTGAGATTTTTGTTATATTACTAACCATTTGACATAATCTAATTCCAAATGCACAAAACTAGTCCACAAACTGATTTCTTTAGGGTCCAGACGTATCCCCTCTTGCATTATACAGCGTGCGCATTCTATCCTATGTTCGACTGAATATTCATATCGAGCCGCCTGAATTCGCAAAGAAGAATTTCGCGGAAAAATCTGAAACATTACACTCCATGAATGATAATTTATTAGACATTACATTCCGAACTTAAATCTAACCATGCGAAACCAAGCAATCATTTCTAGATATGATTTGACAATAGGAGTGATTCCTCGTTTTTTGAAATTCAATTAAAAGTGATTTGTGTAAGCAATCGAAACACAAACAACTTTAATTCAAATTTAATGCAAATAGTCTCTCGAAAATGCAAAGAATCGTTTTCGCATCGAACTTTAACATAGGATTACTAGACTATATTTCTTTCCTGACTAACATGCAATAATGGAAAGCGGTTTCTTCTAGAAATTTACCTGTAATGCGCGGAAATACGTCTTACTGCATCGGATATACATTTTCTCACTCTTCAAGAATTCAATCAAATCAAGCCAAGCCTCTAATCGTCCCTGTAATCAGATGATGAAAGGAAATAGATCTTCTGCAGAAGCAAAATATCAATCATTTTATTTAAATTATTAAAGTATCCATATTATATTTTCTTTCAAAATAAGCCTCGGTTCAACATTCTTTGCCGAATATAAAAATTTATGCAAATAAAAAAGCTAAAATCAAATACCTTGAACCGTTCACAATATTGTCGACGCAGATTGGCAATTTTAATCTTAATTTTGCTTTCAATTTCATCTTCTTTCAATCTGTATTTAATTCGTTTCCGTCGCATCCGAATAAGCTTCAAGATCGATTCCAAATAATCGGTATATCCTCTGAACGATAATGAATCCTTTCGCTGCAAAACATATGCATATTAATTTGTTTTGGCACTAAAAATACTTAATCACATAACAAAATACTACTGAATATCCAAAAATTAGTCCCTCCCTAGGTACTTGATGGATATAAAGCAACTTTAGGTTGTATACTCGATAATATTTCAATATTTTGTACTAGGAATTTCTCGTTATTTTATCATCTCAGTAAGAAAGTCATCATAGTTAATCAAGCAGCATCAGTTGAAATGAAGAAAAAGTACTTACAGGCTTTTGAAGGCGATACTCAAACATTTGACAACGTTTGACAAATGCATCTATTTCAGTGGATGATAACAACTGCACACCTTTTAAGACTTCGAAAACAGGAAGCAAACCTTCGATATCTTCTTCCACAAATTCACTCATCTCTCATCCACCAATCTGAACTATTTTGAATAGAGTTGTTCTTGAAGTTATCGGATGCACGACGTCTAGAACACGATTAAAATGTGCATGTATTTTATGCATATAGAGAAAAAATCACAGGCAAATCAGTTGTACATGCAGCAACTTGTAATTTATTTAAATCATTTCTGGCTAGAAATAATACTAACTACTATTTAAACAATTCCGGATTAAAGCACCATAATATTTTAATACATATTCGTTGGATTCTATCGATGATATCCAGATAGAAGCAATTTCTCCGATAAACTCAACCCTTGCTCATAATTATTTAAATTGAGTTAACATGAATACATGAAACACTTTACAGAGGACATACTAAGCTAGACAATAAAAGGTCAACAACATCAGCAAACGCGACCTTCGGGACGCATTACATAAACTTCGAGACCCCAGCATCTGTTCATCTTCATGCACAAAATGCGGTCCACAATGTCTGAACGAGCGTCTCATTAAGTATGAGCCATTGAAGGGACGAGGACAAATGCTACATTAGCATAGTTAGGAAGACATTTTGCGGATGCGTCACGTGATTGAAAGGTGAAACAAATGTTCTGACGTTGAGTTATTTTATTCCATTTATTCCCTGTTATTAATTGTGACACTTAAAATTTCAGAGATGAAATGTCTGTTTTGAATTATACTTCAGGCTAGTATCAATCAGTAACAATTTGTTTCTGCACGAACTACACATAGAAATTTTGCAAAATCTAAATTTAAACTTTCCAGAGATATTGTGACTTTGATTCATGGAAATTTTAGATTTATTTCGTGTTTATTTCAATCCGTATATTCGTTCACTCATTTATCAGTTACATTACCACAATTAATACTATAAGCTGTCAGAATATCGTAAAATTATATCAAAAATGGGTTTAATTTATTAAATTTGTTGATTATTTGTTATTTTTACATCAAGCAAAAATAATTTGTTAGGTAGAATGACGACGTGTCAGACTGAATCCTTGATATTTTGTCACGGTTTGTCCAGCTTTTGATTTCATCTTTGTTACAAATCCTGTAACTCTGTCCGCGGTATGTGCTACTTTTCCCCGATCACACTTCATCCTTCTTTGTCTGTAAAACATCGGTCCATTGAGCTTATATTCAGAATCAGTTTCATCCGATTCTTCACATTCTAACTTGTCGTTATCAGAACTTGATCCTGTATATGAGTATATATAAGTGGAAAATAAGATTTTTATTCTTGTCTAATTTTATTCAAGTAATACTTGATCTTTTATGTTATGATGAAACGTAGATTTCTTACATTACATCTACAGTGTTTCCATATCACAAATGCAGTAATGCACAAAATAGTTATATGGAATAATTATATAACTCCTCCAGATATGTTGAAGGATAATATCCAAAGAAATTTAATAAGTAATTTGTTAATTCTTCAATAAAATCAATTTACCAAGAGTATTTTCTGCTTCAGAATCGTCAGCAGTTATTTCATTGCTAGATTCCATTATCCTATCATAATCTGCTTCTTCATAATCACTATCATCATAATTATCAGCACTTGCATCACTTCCTGAATATAATTCACTGTTTTCATCACTATAATTACTTTCGACAGATTTACTTTCCGCATCGCCGTGAACTGTTGATTCGGATTCTGTAATACTACTGCATTCAGTAGTTTCCATTTTCATTTCATCCTGTTTTGAATTTTCATTTGGATGGCAGGTCGAATCTTGGCGAGAATCTGTTTCATTTTTTAAAAGTGATGAATTGCTGGTGCCAGCTTCCGAAGGGAAAACATTTAAATTTGTTTGATTTGAGAAATGCTGCTCATTTTGTAACTTGTTCGCACAGAATGGACAAAACCAGTCATCTTTCGGGATTTGTTCCAGTTTTTCCGGTAAGCAATAACTATGATAGGCGACATTACAGCGAATCATGGAACCATCAGCATTCTGACCAACGTTTCCATCGCAAAGCAGCAGTAAATGCTCGTTATCTGAACGTCTGCATGAACGGCAGCTTGCATATTGAACGGTGATATCTTCATCTAAAGATCCGCTATAACGTCCTTCCAGTTGTTCTCGGACAAGCAGCTTAAAAAATTTGCAAAAAGTAATTTTGAAATAATTAACAATTAACAATATGTAACATTGTTAATTCCGATCTTTGTCTTTCCACTTTTAATAATAATACATTTTAGTAAATGTTTTTTTTTTTAGAATTTTGATATGGAGAATTATCACAATAATTTAAAAGATGAATTTGAATTCCTTGAATTGAAAATTTCAAATCCGAAAAGTTTAACTTGAGACATTTATATTCGTTATCAACGGCACAACACTATGCGCTTTTCTTTTCTTAATTTAGTTTAATTTCGCTTCATTTAACTGTTTTATTTGTTAAATTCTAGGCCAGAAGCTTGTCATGAAAACTATTTTGAAATAATTAATCAAAAACACTATTTGAAATACTTGATAAACAAGCCACGAACGTATTTCGCTCTAACAATGATCATATATAAATTGGAAAGAAAGTAGTAATAAAGGGAATAATGAAGAGGAAAACAACACGACAAAATATTTTGTAATGCTAATGGTGATGCTATCATTGATAATGTTATCAGAAGGTAACCTCATTTTCAAACTGCGTTGCTGTTCGTTTTTTCACTGGCACTTTTGTTTCTTTCTTAGTTTCCTCAATTTTGATGAGATATTTTGTCGCACCACCACAGAGTGGACATTGGGATCGCTTTTTCAACCAGTTACTAATACATTTAAAGCAAAACTTATGCTCACAGTTATCAGGTTTACCAAGCGGATATTTTAAGAGATCCCAGCATATGGTACAGTTTGCTTCCATATTTTCAGTCTCGTAGATTAATCAGCATAGCATCCGTTTGACTTTTGTGAAATTGACACTTATCTTCCAGGTGCACACCTTTCAATAATAAACCCAACACTACAAGTTATACAATGATAAAATGGTTATAACCATCTAATAATCAATTATTATATTAAAATTTGATTAAAATTTGCAAACATTTTATGCAGAAATTTTCAAAGCAATAGAAAAATGCAACGTGAAAAAGGAAATGATTCAAAAATTTAATTAAATCGTAACACTCCTCAAAATATTTTTGTTAAGTATTGACAAAAAAAAAACAACGCCCGAATAACATTTTTGGTTAGTTTTACTCAAAGCAATGCATGCAGTTAAGTACTTCCAGAAAATCGTTGTTAAAAGTAAAAGAAAAAAGAGAAAAGCAAAAAGTTCAAATTGAAAATTTCGAATTTTCGATATAATCAATTATTATGTCAACAAATCATTAAAACGAGTGAAGAAAACAAAAAAAAAAACATGCAGTAGATATAAGGAACGAACAAAAGCTAATAAAAAAGTGCATAAAAAGAGAAACTAAAAACCGAACTTTATAGTACATTATTTTGTGATCAAATGTAAATAATGCAAACGTGCAGTGAGTGCAATGAAAAAAAAAAACATCCAATAAAGGCAATTGAAAAAAAGAATTAAGTAAATGTGGATTACGAAAAAAGCATACAATTAAATAGAGTTTAAAAAATGCAGAAAGAGAAATTTAATGTCTACCGCTGTAAAAATTAATTTGAAAATAAAATTCCATTTATCATTTGATGATAAAAATAATTTTATTTTTTAAAGGAATAATTGTGTTTTTTTTTTCGATAATAAATAAGTAAATCGAATACAACATGCCAACAAGACAATTTTTTATTTCGTCGTCTTTTTTAAAAGGCAGTTAAATTTTGCAAAAATTGCTTTTCGGCAATCTATTTCAAAAAAACAAAAATTTTGCTAGAAAACCACAAATTGTAACAGCATATCGCTGAATTTATCAGCTAATTAAAATATCAGCTACTTACACATTTATCAATGAGTAACAAATTAATAAAATTGTTATTAAAATTGCATTGAAATTCTACTTTATTGTTA